CACTGGATCTTCCATAGACTCTTCCATCAGAGGTTTGTTTTTAATTAAGACACTGAATATTAAATCGAGTTTGGAACTGTTCAGTTTCAAATATATTTTCTTTTCAGTTTAAAATTGTTTTTATTTTATTTCCCTTTGTGTTTTTTTTCTAAACATTATGACCCCAATTAAGCTCCTTACAATTAAAAATGTTGACTATAAAGAAGACTTTGAACGCTGGTCCTTACTTAAACTGTCTCTGGTAGCTCGAATTAACTGTATCAAAATGAATGTTCTCCCCGTTTTTTGTATCTTTTTCAATGTATCCCAATTTTTTTAACCAACTCCTTTTTTGGTCGGGTAGATTCTCTTGTTTCAGATTTTCTCTGGGAGGGGAGGGTCCCTAGATTGTCTAGACAATATTTACAGAGACCCAAGCCACTTGGGGGGATGGCCTTACCGAACTTCAGGTACTACTATTGGGCCTCCAATATTGGGGTTTTGACAGCCTGGCTTCGGTGTGGCCCATCCTCTCCTGACTGGCTTGTAATGGAGACAAATTCGGCAAAACCTGTCTCTCTTGCAGCTCTATTGTATTCACCAATAAAATCTTCAACTGTTGCTTATACGAAGAATAGCGTAGTTAAAACCTCTCTTAAGATTTGGACTCAATTTCGGCGTTATTTTGGTCTGCAACTCCTTTCTCCATATGCTCCTATCGCAAACCATCATGTCTTTTCTCCCTCTCTCATAGACAAAACTTTTATGATTTGGTCACACCTTGGCATTCAGACCTTTAGGGATTTATTTATTGATGGTGTCTTTGCTACCTTTCAACAACTCTCTGCCAAATTTACTCTTCCATCTCGAGATTTTTTCAGATTTTTACAGGTGCGCAGCTTTGTTCATAGTAATTTTCCCACTTTTCCTAGGCTGCCTGAGGACTCTGACCTTGACTCCTTGCTTTTGCCCATTCCTAGGCTGAAAGGCTCTATTTCAATTCTTTATACCCGCATAGCTTCGATCCGCTCCAAGTCTTTAAGCTCAATCAAGGCCCTCTGGGAGGAGGATATAGGAGAGGCTATCCCTGACGAGCTTTGGTCACGTGTCTTAATACGGGTACATAAGTCTTCTATATGTGCTAGGCACTGTCTTCTCCAATGTAAGCTTGTTCACCGCGTTTACTATACCAGGGCTCGTTTGTCTAAATTTTATAGCACTGTTTCCCCAGTCTGTGATAGGTGCCAACAGTCTCCTGCAAACCTTATACACATGTTTTGGTTGTGCCCCCAGCTCAAGAGTTTTTGGACAGAGATATTTGTTGCTATATCAGACGTGGTTGGCAGAAAGATTGATCCCCCCAGAGTGCTTTGTTTGGGGTGTTTTCGGGGCCATTTTCTTTGTCCTCTTCCCAAGAAAATTCTTTGTCCTTTATGACTATTATTGCAAGGAGGATAATTCTTCTTAAATGGAAATCACCACAACCTCCTTCTTTTGTACATTGGTTAAGGGACATTGTTTATTTTCTTAAACTTGAGAAAATTAGAATGTCTCTTCGGGCTTCCTCTGACAAATTTGCAGAAATCTGGCAGCGATTACTGCAATTGGTCGATCGAGTTAATTTTCATTCTGTCCCAGTCTAATCCTTTGTGTATGTATTTGTCTGCTCATCCTGTATCCTTTCCCTCGGATTTTCCCTTTCTTATAGTTCCATATTTACTTTCCTGGGCACAAACTGTACTTTTTTAGGTATGGCAGAATGCATCTTGATTTTAGTTATTTCTAAACATTTATTTATTTTGTTTTTTTCCTTATGACTTTTTCTTATTGCCTGGGAGTGATTGGAGGTCGTTATGTTTTGTGTTTTTTGTTTTGTTTTTATAACTTAAGGGAATTGTATGGTTTGTTTTATATGTATCACATTGTAAATGTATGGCTATGCAATTCCTGTTAAAAACCAAATAAACAAAGTTTTCAAAAAAAAAAAAGTTGACTATTAGGGACAGAATAATAGATTTTTTTGAATAAAGTCATTAGAATATTCTATATAATCAAAAAAAAAAGGAAAAATTATGAGATAAAAGTTGTTTTAATAAGAAAAAAGCTTCAACAAAGTTATCAAGGTTTAGCGTGAGCAGCGTGTCTGGTTCTTCTTCTAACCAGATTCAGTCGATTTCACGATTGTTTCAGGAATCAAAGATTGTCAAAGATGAAGGATTGTAAACATGCTCAACATTCCTCAGTTTAACTTTTTTTCAGTCTAAGAGTTATCATAAAATTATTTCATTAAACTAATGTCATTACTTTTTTCTGTTAATATTAAGACTCTATTCTCATAATGTTATGGCTTTATGTTGTAAGACATTATTTTTGTCTTCTTACAGCTTTTCTGATCTTAAAAATGTATTTTCATATGTATTTTTTCTCAGACTATTAAGACTTTATTCTGGTAATATGAGTTCATTCCTGAATAATTTACTTTCTTATAATATTTTATTTTGCGGCTTAGTTCTTGTATGACTTTTTTCTTTCAATATTATGAGTTTATTTTTCACATAGTATTGACGTCTTTATTTCTCCGAGCCTTGCTGCATCACTCTGTTGTAATTTCCTCTGTGTGTAAATGTTACTTCTGTGTTTCTTTGCAGGAGCAGCTTGTTCATTTACCTGCACATCGTGCTGGAAGGCGCCGTGTTCGCCGAGTTCAGCTTGGAGGTGTTTGGTTTCTGCAGGGAGATGGACAGCAGCCTGACCAGCCTGTCGGTTCCGTACGTCCTGCTGGCCATCAAGACCTTCTTCTTCTACCTCTGCATCAAGACAGACCCAGGTTGCCTTCCTCTCCCCCCCTCAGTCTCTGTCCTAAAGCCAGAACAGAGGCGGGTTATTTTTCTTGATTAATAGAAAAAAATGACATAAATGTAGTTTTTCAGATTATTTTGTGCCGTGTTGCGTCTCACCAGGAACAGTCACAAAGCAGAACGCCTCCCGCCTGATTCCCATCTATCCGTACGACAGACGGCTGTTCCACCCTGGAGTTTTCTGTGAAACGTGTCAACTTATCAAACCGGCACGCTCCAAACACTGCAGTGAGTTCACACTCTGCTCACAACATTCTGCAAAGTTCCAGCCACAAAAGTTTCTGTGTTTGGTTGGGACGTTCACAGAGCAAATCGTAATTATGATGTGAACCAAAAGAAACGTGATTTCAAAAATGTTTTCCAAATAAAAATCCGAAAAGTGAGGAAACATTTATCTCTTTGTCATAGTAAAATAGTTGAAGCTCAGTCAGAACGCGTGGAGGTCTCGCTACAACTGGATCTCAATTGTATTTATGTCTGGACTTTAACTAGGCAATTCTAACACATGAGCCATCTTTAAAGCATCCCATACTATGTCTGCATGTTCAGGCAGGTTCTCCCCCAGCCTCCTTTTATTTAGCTGTATCCAAAGCATTCCCACAGCATGATGCTGCCATCACCGTGTTTCATCTTAAGGATGGTTGCCGGTAGCCCAGCAGGACTCTGGTGACTGAATAGGGAACTTCTCGAGTCGATTTGCTGAACTAGATTTTATTCTGATCAAAGGGAGCTAAATACAAATGCATGCCACACTTTTAAGATTTGTATCTGCAAAAATGATTTAAAACTTTGTGTCAGTTTCTTACTTTTAGGAGTTTACCTATTTTGTTTTGGTTGATGAAATGCATTGATGTTTGCAGCTGCCTTGAGTCAGAATGTGCTAGAGGTCAAAGGTCATGCATGCTTTTAGCAGGAACCTGCTCCTGGGAGACATTTGACTGCAGCTTTTCCCATCTGAACCTCAGGAGTCTGCAACAGGTGCGTCCATCGCTTCGACCACCACTGTGTCTGGGTCAACAACTGTGTCGGCGCCAGGAACACGCGCTACTTCCTGCTGTACCTACTGAGCGTGTGCGGCATGGCGCTGGCCATCGGCCTGCTGACGGCGGACATGTTGCTCCATGCCGTGCTGCGTTCAGGGCTGCTCAGAGCCAGCTACGTCGACGAGCGCGGCCAGCAGCAGCCGGCCGGGCCGCTGTTCATCGTTCAGGTACCAACGTCCTCCGCATCAGAACCAAACTGGGTTCATGGAGCCAACGACCTTGACCGTCTCCATGTTTCTCCCTCTGCGTCTCCCAGCATCTGTTCCTGACGTTTCCACGGATCGTCTTCATGCTGGGCTTTGTGGTCTTTGTCTTCTTCCTCCTCGCCGGTTATACGATGTTCCACTGCTTCCTGGCTCTGGTCAACCAGACGTCCAACGAATGGTTCAAAAGCCGAGGCTTAGCGTGTCGCCGCTGCCGCCCGGCGCCGCAGGCAGACGGTCTCTGCGGCCCCGCCCCTGACCGCTCAGAGCGCTACTGCTATAGCCGGGGGCTGCTGGGAAACCTGTGGGAGATCTTCTTCCCTCCGAACGGCGGCCAGAAGAAAGGCAACTGAGGAAGACTCATCCAGCCTTCGTCAGCGCAGCCAGAACGGACCGGCGCTGTGGATACAGCTTTACTGGGCCTCACCGAGGACCCGGCAAAAACCCAAACGACAGAAAGTCGCTTTTATGGGTCTGATTTATTTCACTTCTGTTTTATAGTCGTTTTCTAGTTACCAAATAAAGAGGTCTTCCACATGGGGGTCGCGACCCCTAAGATTTCTGATTGCACATTTTTTTAGACGTAAAGTTTTTCTTTTTAAATTCAAAGTCTTTAAATACACTCACATTAAAGGAACATTAACACATCGACGAAATGAGGCAAAATATGGATTTCAGTCAGAAATGAAAAGATTTTTAGAGCAAAATGTTCAAAGTTCAGCTTTTTATGCAAATGAAATGTTTTAATGATGGAGGCATCATGAGGTCATCACTTTAAATTTCTGCATAAAATATTCACACACATTATATTGAATATGATGACGCAAAGTTTCATTTATTAGAGGCAGAGCTTCAGTATTGTAGATGTTTATATCTAAATGTATCTGCAGACAAGCTCACCTCCAGCTGCACTTGCTTCTCGCCGGAAATGACCGTTGTTTCTTCCGGAAGTAGGCGGGTCTTGTAGCTCTTTAAGCTGCTTCCCCTTTAAGCCGGTGCGGAAGCGGTCGGCAGGTCTCTGCATCGCGGCGGAAGGTCGGGCGGTCTGTAGCGGCCGGAGCGCCTCCATGTCCGGGCCCCAGTGCGAGCGGCTCGCCGGGCCGCTGGTCCGCCAGCTGCTGGACTCCGTGGACAGCCTGCTGTTCGACTGCGACGGGGTGATCTGGCGCGGGGACCAGGCCGTGCCCGGGGCCGCGCGGGTCATCAGCCTGCTCAAGCAGCGCGGAAAGAAGGTCTTCTTCGTCACCAACAACAGCACCAAGACCCGCGACATGTACGCCGCCAAGCTGGCCTCGCTGGGCTTCGACGCCGCGCCGGACGAGGTGTTCGGAACCGCGTTCTGCTGCGCCGCCTACCTGCGGTCGGAGTGCGGCCTGCGGGGGAAGGTCTACCTGGTGGGCAGCGACGCCATGCGGCAGGAGCTGGAGGCCGTGGGCATCCGGGCGGAAGGCGTGGGGCCGGACCCGGTGTGCGGGAAGCAGCTGGACTGGGCCGGCGTGCCTCTGGACCCGGAGGTCCAGGCGGTGGTGGTCGGGTTCGACGAACACTTCAGCTACATGAAGCTGAACCGAGCCATGCAGTACCTGACCCAGAAGGACTGCCTGTTTGTCGGAACCAACCGGGACACCAGGCTGCCTCTGGAGGGCGGGAAGGCGGTACCAGGTAGGAACCGCTGGGGGCCGAACCGCTGGAGGCCGAACCGCTGGAGGCCGAACCGCTGGAGGCCGAACCGCTGGGGGCCGAACCGCTGGAGGCCGAACCGCTGGAGGCCTTTATTATTATCATCATTATTATTGTTATTATTATTATTATTATTATATGCAATGAAAGGCAGCTTGAAGTTTTTATTTAGACCTAAATTTATATAAGAATTTCATCATAAGTTTTATTATTTTAGCTGTATAATAATAAAGGACTTCATATATTTTATGTTTTATTTGCACAATAAAATATAATTCAACTTTCTAATTTATATACATAAAATAAAAAATAACTTCCTAAAGTTTGATGTATTTTTTCTTTTATGTAATATAGCTGTCATAACTTATTTTGTAATATTTTTAAATATTAATAAAAAACAATCTTATTTTAGAGTGTTTGAGTTATTAATTTTTTTCCTCGTATAATAATTTTTATTTAATATTTAAAATATAATTTTTTAAAATCCACATCATGATGATGATCCCAGTTTGGATCAGTCAATATTTAGACATGAAGATAATCCAGGTTTTCTGTCTTTAGCCTTTTTGAAACATAGAAACTGTTATGCTGAAGTTAAGATTTCACTAATTGGTTCTCATCTGATTCTTATTAAATATGCTGTATAATATTATTAGGACAAGGGAATTCTAACCATCTTACATCCACAGTGCTTTTCTAAGGCGGTCTGTGTGGATGGATATTCTGGTTATACTGGTTTTATGGTTTATACTCAGCATCGAGCCAAAAGTCCTGAGAGACGAAGAAAAGCAGCTTCAGTTGGAGTCGTTCTCTTGAAATGCCACGCGAGTTCCTAACAGTTCAAAACATCACAAAAATGTCACAGTGTTCAAATTCTGGTAGACTTGAAAAAATAAACAAGCACAAGATCACAAATTTAATCTAAGATGATTTTATCATCAAAGTTATGACAATAATTATTAATAAATAAAATGTCCTGTAGGACAGTGGAGGAAACTCTAAAGTACTTTAAAAAGTTTCTCTTGTCAAAGTAAGTAGTTACTAACTGCAACATATTAATGTCAGCTCCCCACATAATGTTCATTCTTTGAAATATTAAATCAGTCCTACTTCATGTTCACCATCCAACAGGGACTCCTGCGCCTCCACTGGCCGTCCAGTAGGGGGCGACGTACAGTGCAGCGGTTTGAGGCAATCAGGCCCTTTCACTTTCTGAGACCTTGTAGTCCAGGGGAGTCAAACTCCAGTCCTCCAGGTGTCCTGCAGCTTTTTGATGTGCCACAGGTACAAAACACAGGAATGAAATGGCTTCATTTCCTCGTCCTCCTCCCTTCTCCTCCTCTTCCTCCTCCTCCTCTTCCTCCATCATCATCATCATCATCACCTAATTATTGTATTCAGGTGCAGCAGAGGCTCATCTAAAAGTTGCAGGACAGCAGCTCCAGGACTGGAGTTTGACAGCCCTGCTCTCGTCCCGGGGTGTCCAACCAGACGAAGACCAAGTTTCTTACCAAGTTACCGTAAAGAGCCGCATCATATGCATGGGCACATCAACCCATCCCTTCCTCATACTCACATGAAAATAATAAATCTGCTCAGCCAGATTTATTATTTTCACACACTATTTGAACACGACAAAGTCCACAAGCCAGACATTTTCAACAATGAGCACTTTCTCATGCAAACAAACTGTTTAACCGAACAAACAATAATAGAACAATTTACAATACATTTTTCCTTTTATTATGTGCATTACATGTTATTTAATGGAGTGAGCTGAAGTGGCGACAGACACCTGACACATAAGGCAGAATGGCTTTCCACTACGTTCAACCAAAAAATATCAATTCTCCCACCCTGTCAAAAACGTCCTCTGTTCATCTTCATATTTTTGTTTTTCTGTGCATTTTTTCCTGCCATTTTGAGCTCGAAAGGTTTACTCAAATGATTTTACTCTCACTGAAAAACTGCGCACATTTGATGAAAATAGCGTGTTGAACTCAAGCGAAGTGAAACTTGGATATTATAGCGACTGTATGTTGGCCATCCTGCTCTAGTCCAACAACCATGTTTTTATTACAGCTCTAAATCAAACTTTTTGTGCTTTTTCAACAAATATGTCTGCTCAATTACAAACTAATTAAAGAATCTGAAAAAGTCAGATTTTTTTTAGTGAACAAAACAGTAAATCATTTTTAACATAAAAATGTTTTTGCAGTACAAGACAAGACCAGTTTCTACATTTTCTGGGTTGAGTTTTATAAAATGTTTTATTATTTCAGCTCCATTATTTTCTGGTGGGTAAAAGCAGGTCAGTAATAATGACTCTAGTTATTCTAAGATTAATTTAGACGAACACCAGAACTTTAGTAAATGGAGTTATTTTTTGCAACTCTGGTTTATCTGTAAAAAACCCCCAAAAAACCCAAAAGCTAAAAATGTTTCCCTAAAAGTTTTGATGATTTCTAGAATCGATGCTGCAGGGCCGCCTAAAATCCTTCAGAGGGCCACTGATGGCCCCTGGGCCGCACGTTGAACCCCAGCCGGCGGTGAAGCTTCTGGGTCAGAACCAGACGGTCTTCAGTTTTATCTTCAGGGTTTTTTAGCTCAAAGGTGATGTGTGTTTGCATCAGTAGGAAGTGACATCATTTCCTCCTCCTCTCCAGGTACGGGCTGCCTGCTGCAGGCCGTGGAAACGGCCGCCCAGCGCCAGGCCCAGACGGTGGGCAAACCCAGCCGCTTCATGTTCGAGTGCGTGGCGCGGCGGTTCGGCGTGCGGCCGGAGCGCTGCCTGATGGTCGGCGACCGGCTGGACACTGACATCCTGCTGGGCTCCGCCTGCGGCCTGAAGACGCTGCTGACCCTGACCGGGGTCAACACTGTCGCCGAGGCCGCCGCCCACCGCGACAGCGGCAGCGCCGAGCGCCGCGCCATGGTGCCCGACTATTACGTGGAGAGCATCGCCGACCTGCTGCCGGCGCTGCAGGGAGAAGACGAGCCGTCGCTCTGAAGGGAAGATCTGATCACTTGGCCTAAAGCTGCAGATGAAACGTTAATAAAGATGAATGTTTATTGCCATGTTGGGACAGCTCCTCTGCTTTCTCCCTGTGCTAACAAACAACCAATCAGAGGCAGGGGGTGGGGCTTAGCGCAGTCAATCATGACCTTTTCTCTGTTATACTAGCACAGAATGCTAAGGCTGGTTAGCATTCTAACTAGGGAGAAAGGTTAGGGTTAGGATAACAGTGCATAAACAGTTTTTCTGTATTTGGCAGCAGTACATGAGGATGATTGACAGCGCTAAGCCCCGCCCCCTGCCTCTGATTGGTGGTTGTTGGTTCATTTCTTCAGAGCAGCTGGAGATCCGTCTGTCCACTGACCATCTGCCTCATTAAACTGATGCTGACAGTTTTCCTAACATGTAAAACTTACTGCAGCTTTAAATGGAGCCACAGCTGCAGGAAGAATAAATTCAGGCTGTTCTTAATGCTTTGACTAGGCCATTGCTATGATGGGATTGTTTCTGTTTCAGTTCATGCAGCTTTAAGGAAGCGCTTTGTCTGCATCCTGTCTGTGATGTCATTTCCTGTTGAGCATCGCCATGTTCAGCCTGCAGCTGTTGGTTCTGAAACAGGGGTGTCCAAAGGGCGGCGCGGGGGCCATTTACGGCCCTGGACTGATTGTTTTTGTGGCCACGACTCTAATTAGAGATAAAAGGTGGTCGGTGCAGATGGAGGATTTTGTTTTTATTAAAAATTGGGGCAAAATTATTACAGCCACATTGAAATCTTACAATAGAAAATATTGATCCCAGATCATAAGAGCTGCTTCTGATCACTTCATTAAACTTGTTTTTACTTTTCAATTAAATTCACAAAAATATTTTTCTGCTCATAAATTCTCAAATTTCGAGGTGAACCTGTTTAGATCGACGACTATTTCCACATTTTCCAGTTGAACATTTGACTGATTTAATCCAGCGGTTTGTTGTTCAGTGGATTAAAGGCTCAGATTTTAGTTCCTCAGTTTGGAGCCTTCAGTTTATTACTGTTTCATTATCAACACAATAAAACCTTATTTTCTGATAAAAACACTCATTTTGATTTTTTTCAAAGGTTTTCAGAAAAGACATTTTATGAGTTTGAAAAGTTAAACAGAGTTTAAGTTTAATATTTTCTGGGGAAAAAATGCAAATTTCAGATTAATCTCAAATGTTTCTAAAAATGAAAAACTGAAGCATTTTAACTTTTTAAATGCAGAAATTGTGAAGTTTTGTACACAGCAAAAAGTCCAGTGTTAATTTAACTCCCACAGAGTTGATTTTAACACTTTTTCAGTGCTTATATAGTCCACTCTCATCAAGAGTTAAATTAACACTTTCAATATAGTTAAAATTTTAACACTTTATCAGAGTTACTTATTTAACTCACAAAACAGGGTTAATTTAACACTGTGGGATATACTGGATAACACTGATCCAGGAACAAAAATGTACCACTTTATTAGTGTTGATTTAACACTTTCAAGTGTTATTTATTCCAAAAAAAGTTACTTTATGATTATGATTAATTATAATAATTATTAAGAAAAAAAAAACTTGACACAAGTACATACATTTTGAACACTTTATTTTTGCAGCTGTGTTTCCAACATTTTAAATTGTGGTACAACGATCAAACATTCATTAGAAATGCCATAAGAGTTTTGAATATCAAAAGAAATTTAAGTTCAGGGATTTTTACTAAATGCCTTTCTTCACTTTGAACAATTTTGAAAGCATGATGATGATCAAATGTTTCCGCTTGGATACAGTTTTTGACACATAAAAACAGGTCAACATTTTTTAGCCTGACTTTCTCACAACAGAGCTCAACGGACCGGTTTAGCAGCCTTGCTCTCACGTCCCGAACTCTGGGCGATTCCTTCATTTTGCCCACGTCAATGTTATACACTGTTGTCTGCAGAAATGTGTAGAAATTCATCAATGCAGCATCATAAGAGAATTTAAACACAAAATGTGCTTTGAATAGCTCATCAAATGTTCCAAGAGAACTGTTTTTGTCTGGCATGGGATGAGGCACTTATCCATGACGATGTAGAAGCTGTCAATCTTGCTTTTCTGACGCCCAACAGCAAGGAGGTATGGCTGCAGACCCCGTTGACCCCGATGATGCTCCTCTAAACTGCAGCATGACTAAAATTAAAAGATATACACCAAACATTAGAAACAAAACATACAGCTTTACGATACATGTGACATAAAAATTAATTTAAGTATGCCCAGACATCTTCAAAGCTGTCATTCAAACATCTGTATTTATGCATGTCTATAAAAGGAAATAGACAAATAATTTTGCATATTTTAAATTTCAATTACCTTATGAAAGACAACAAGTGTCTCATCTGCATCACTTGCACTGATTTTTGGAGACTTTTGTCCTCCTGGTTGCGGTGGAAGAAGTAACAGCGAGGCCATTTCTTGGTCATAGCCTGAGGACAAATTTATAAAAGTTTTCAGCTATAATATCAGAACTTTATGAATACTCTGAATAGTCAACTATCTTCAGATATATCTAGGTACTTACTAGATGTGTTAGCGAGGTCATCGCTTTGAAGACTTTCCGCTGACTGCACCAAACTTCTCAACTCAGGTGGAGAAGTGAGACGCTTAGCCTCCTTGATGACATTTGGTTTGAAGAACACATCCTACTTCTGCAGCAGTCTGGATGAGGTTTCTTCACTGAATAGGAGACAGAAGTCTTGATCAATCTTTAATAGCATGTAGAAATCAAACCATTATAACAATGTAAAAATCCACATTTAAAGACTTCAGTTGAACACTTACCAATCCTTTTGTGTCCAGGAACCCCGGGAATGTGGTCAGGATATCATTTCTTCCACTGGCATCTTTAATAAGCTTGTGATGGTGCTCAAAAGTCTCTCTCATCTTCTGAAAGTTCACAGACCTGTCTGTGGTGTGGTTAAGCAGAGATATGGCCTCCTAAAAAAAAAGAACAAAAATTAACTGCAAAATTACAGTTTTGAGTCACAAAATAAAATTGATTGTAGAAAAAAACAAACAAACAAACAAAAAAACATTACATTGCCTTTTTTGGTGTATGGATCCTTGAGGGATGCGAAGAGTGTCACTATTCCAAAGGCATACTTCTCTCTGATTGCTTTTGTGGGGAGGTGCCTAACAGCAGATTGTAAATTGGTGATTAAACCTTTTTTTCAATTATTATACATAAATTAAATAGTGTAAAAACAAACATACCCTTGTTCATCAATCATGTGAGCCACCAGTATGTTCACCATTTGTCTTCTTGTGGCATCAGTTAGGGTTTCTGTAGTTTCATCCTCCTGCAGAATTTCTTCACCACCAGACTTGCTTTGTAGGACACCTTCAACCAGCTATAAAATGAACAATAAAAAAAGAAAGAAAAAAAAAAGGAAATATGCAATATGCAGATGACCAAAATACGACAAAACATGTCTGGGCATACAAAACAGAATTTAGAGGCAGACAAAAAATATTGTTACATTTTTAGCAGACACTGAGTTATCAGGATTCTCAGTTTTTTGCTTCTTGCATGGCATCTCATCCATTAGTATTGTTGATGTTGATGCATTTGAGTTGAAGCTTGAGTCAGAAGCAGATGACCATTCTGAGAACTCTGAAGAAAGAGGCAATAGACATCAGTTACATTCTTTGATAAAATCTGTATGACAGTTGATTTAATTTGCTTTGGTATCTCACCATCATAGCAGAAAACTGTCTGTACCACATTGCCTTGTCTAAGGAGGTCACTGAATATTTCTTCGTCAACTTCAGTATCTGTTGTATCTTTGTATGTAACTTTGGTATCAGGTGGCAGGCAAAATTGTTCAATGACTGAAAAAACAAGGAAAGATTTAGAGCCTAATTCTGTAATTAGCTGGATTTTTAAACTAACAGTTACTTGATATTGATCATGGGATTAGCATAAAACATATTAATGAAAATACAATTTTTACTTACCACAAATGTGTAAAATATGTGTTAAATAGACATACATTGAAAAGAATAATGCCCATGACCCAAACAGATGATGAATAAATAACAAACCTTTCTCATGAAACTGATTAAAGTCAAACGGCCCTTTGACTTCCTCCAACTTCACATACTTTACATGGATCAGCATTTTATTTCATGGGATAACCTAGACAAAGCAAAATAAGGTAAAGGTCAAGAGTTCACCTCACTGTAACTCTGCTATTGGTGTCACGTGACTTCGGCTCGTTGACGCTCCGCAGAAGCTAATAGTCGTTAGCTTACATTCAAGGCCAAAATTATCATTTTAAACGGCAAAAACGTAGAAGTATATTTTTTACGAGTGTATGGTCCGACAAAATATGTTTTGTAAGAATTACCATTATAATAATATCAGGTGTAAGTGCTACTAGCTACCAGCTAACATGTTGTGTAAAACTTGCAAAATGAACATATTCAGCTGCTTTTCATTATGTGGTAATTAGTAGAAATAGTCAAATCACTCACTCTGTCAGTGTAATAGTGCTGGACAAAATATTTAGTAAGTTGGACACTTACCGTGTAGAACAAGAGATGAAGAAAACGGAGCCGTGTTCAGATTGAAATCAAACTGAAGCTGAGGGGAGGAGCTTATTTATCTCCCAGCAGAGTTAATTCAACACCAACGCAATCAACTCTGCGAAATAATTCCAACACTGGGCATCATTTAAATCGCTAAATGTTAAAAATACATTACTGAGTTAAAATTAACTCTGACACGTTTAACCCTGAAATTTTAACACCCCAGTTTTTGCTGTGTAGGAACCTTGTGTGTCTGGTTCTGTACTGGAAAGTTCCCAGTCAAAGCCAGTTCTCCCAGCTCAGCCTCACCTCAGTGATCCTCAGTGATCCGGATGAAAGTGACCCCGGTTCTGTCAGCGGTTCTGTCAGCGGTTCCGGCTCCTATCGCTCCGGGCCGCTGACGGCCGCTGGAGGCTCTGAGTTCGGGGCTCGCTGCTCAGGTGTGCTGCCTGCGGGGCGGGGCGGGTAAAAAGCGCGTGCCCAGGTGAGGCGGCCGCAGTGGGTCATGACTGCAGACTGATGCGGGCCGCTGCGTGACGAGCTGCGTGACGAGCCGCCAGAGGAACCAGGATGGTGACGTGCTGGACGCGTTCAGGAGGCCGAACCGCGGTAAGTTCGGGTTCCGGCGGCAGGAAAACCCGGAAAAATCACGAACGTTAATGTAGAGACGGAGGCGATAAGGTCGGACCTGATCCACCTGATCCGGGATTTGAAAAGTTTTCTTTAAACTTCAGCAGCAGAATTTCACGGATCCACATCCCAATCTGAAAAGTGCGGCGTGCATTTCTATTCGGCCCCAAGTCAATCCCAGAGACCGCCGTTTGTTCCCAACAGCCTTCAAGACATCCACAGAATCTCAGTTGGATTCAGGTATGGACTTTGACTAGGCCACGAGGCAGCTCTGATGTAAACCGTCGTCCTGCTGGGAGCCGAACCTCCATCCAGTCTCAGGTTTTCGTCTTGATTCAGCGCCAGCCATCTTCCCGCAGCATGACGCTGCCAACACCACATGCTGAAGGCGGAACAGCCGCCTTTATTCTTGCAGCTCTTCCTGTTGACACTCAGACCTGAGCTGTGGATCTCTGCAGCTCCTCCAGAGCATCTCTGGTCAAAGCCGTCCTGGTCGCTCTCCACACTTTTCAGATTGGCGTGAATACTTTTCGCTGCCGACGTCTTTATTGACGTTGATGTCGTGTCCTCAGGGTGAAGGTTCTGACTCGGCCCACTTCCCAGCCAAGGCGTTCTGGATCTGCCTGTCCACGCTGCTGCTCCTGGTGGCCATGGCAATGGGACTGACCCTCGCGCTGACCCGGCCGGGCTCCACGGTACCACGTCCGGATCGCGCCGCGTTTCTCCTGTGAGCCGCCGTCTAAACGGATCCGTTTCCGTCACTTCAGGCCCTGCAGACGGTGCGGCTGACGGCGCCGGACCAGACGGGGGTTCTGCTCAACCAGACGGCTGTTTTGGACCCGCAGAACCACCTGGTGACGCTTTTCGTCACAGCGGCAGGAAACCAGACGTCCACGGTTCTGTTCGACGTCAGACACGTACGTCCAAGAGATTTACACCGTTTATCCAGGGCTGGTTATTCTGACGATTAATCGATTACCTTAATGATTAATCGATTACCTTAATAATTAATAGATTACCTTAATGATTAATCGATTATCTTAATGATTAATAGATTACCTTAATAATTAATAGATTACCTTAATGATTAATAGATTACCTTAATAATTAATAGATTACCTTAATGATTAATAGATTACCTTAATGATTAATCGATTATCTTAATAATTAATAGATTACCTTAATGATTAATAGATTACCTTAATGATTAATAGATTACCTTAATGATTAATAGATTACCTTAATGATTAATAGATTACCTTAATAATTAATAGATTACCTTAATGATTAATAGATTACCTTAATAATTAATAGATTACCTTAATAATTAATAGATTACCTTAATGATTAATCGATTACCTTAATGATTAATCGATTACCTTAATGATTAATCGATTACCTTAATGATTAATAGATTACCTTAATGATTAATAGATTACCTTAATGATTAATCGATTATCTTAATAATTAATAGATTACCTTAATGATTAATAGATTACCTTAATGATTAATAGATTACCTTAATGATTAATAGATTACCTTAATGATTAATAGATTACCTTAATAATTAATAGATTACCTTAATGATTAATAGATTACCTTAATAATTAATAGATTACCTTAATAATTAATAGATTACCTTAATGATTAATCGATTACCTTAATGATTAATCGATTACCTTAATGATTAATAGATTACCTTAATGATTAATAGATTATCTTAATAATTAATAGATTACCTTAATGATTAATAGATTACCTTAATAATTAATAGATTACCTTAATGATTAATAGATTACCTTAATGATTAATAGATTACCTTAATAATTAATAGATTACCTTAATGATTAATAGATTACCTTAATGATTAATCGATTATCTTAATAATTAATAGATTACCTTAATAATTAATCGATTATCTTAATAATTAATAGATTACCTTAATGATTAATAGATTACCTTAATAATTAATAGATTACCTTAATGATTAATAGATTACCTTAATAATTAATAGATTACCTTAATGATTAATAGATTACCTTAATGATTAATCGATTATCTTAATAATTAATAGATTACCTTAATGATTAATCGATTATCTTAATAATTAATAGATTACCTTAATAATTAATAGATTACCTTAATGATTAATAGATTACCTTAATGATTAATAGATTACCTTAATGATTAATAGATTACCTTAATGATTAATCGATTATCTTAATAATTAATAGATTACCTTAATAATTAATCGATTATCTTAATAATTAATAGATTACCTTAATGATTAATAGATTACCTTAATAATTAATAGATTACCTTAATGATTAATAGATTACCTTAATAATTAATAGATTACCTTAATGATTAATAGATTACCTTAATGATTAATAGATTACCTTAATGATTAATAGATTACCTTAATAATTAATAGATTACCTTAATAATTAATAGATTACCTTAATGATTAATAGATTACCTTAATGATTAATCGATTATCTTAATAATTAATAGATTACCTTAATAATTAATCGATTATCTTAATAATTAATAGATTACCTTAATGATTAATAGATTACCTTAATAATTAATAGATTACCTTAATGATTAATAGATTACCTTAATAATTAATAGATTACCTTAATGATTAATAGATTACCTTAATGATTAATCGATTATCTTAATAATTAATAGATTACCTTAATAATTAATAGATTACCTTAATAATTAATAGATTACCTTAATGATTAATAGATTACCTTAATGATTAATCGATTATCTTAATAATTAATAGATTACCTTAATGATTAATAGATTACCTTAATGATTAATCGATTATCTTAATGATTAATCGATTACCTTAATGATTAATCGATTATCTTAATAATTAATAGATTACCTTAATGATTAATTGATTATCTTAATAATTAATAGATTACCTTAATAATTAATCGATTATCTTAATAATTAATAGATTACCTTAATGATTAATAGATTACCTTAATAATTAATAGATTACCTTAATGATTAATAGATTACCTTAATAATTAATAGATTACCTTAATGATTAATAGATTACCTTAATGATTAATCGATTATCTTAATAATTAATAGATTACCTTAATAATTAATAGATTACCTTAATAATTAATAGATTACCTTAATGATTAATAGATTACCTTAATGATTAATCGATTATCTTAATAATTAATAGATTACCTTAATGATTAATAGATTACCTTAATGATTAATCGATTATCTTAATGATTAATCGATTACCTTAATGATTAATCGATTATCTTAATAATTAATAGATTACCTTAATGATTAATTGATTATCTTAATAATTAATAGATTACCTTAATGATTAATCGATTATCTTAATGATTAATCGATTACCTTAGTGATTAATCGATTATCTTAATAATTAATAGATTACCTTAATGATTAATCGATTACCTTAATAATTAATAGATTACCTTAATGATTAATAGATTACCTTAATAATTAATAGATTACCTTAATGATTAATAGATTACCTTAATGATTAATCGATTATCTTAATAATTAATAGATTACCTTAATGATTAATCGATTATCTTAATAATTAATAGATTACCTTAATGATTAATCGATTATCTTAATGATTAATAGATTACCTTAATGATTAATCGATTATCTTAATGATTAATAGATTACCTTAATGATTAATCGATTACCTTAATGATTAATCGATTACCTTAATGATTAATTGATTATCTTAATAATTAATAGATTACCTTAATGATTAATCGATTCTTAATGATTAATCGATTACCTTAGTGATTAATCGATTATCTTAATAATTAATAGATTACCTTAATGATTAATCGATTATCTTAATGATTAATAGATTATCTTAATGATTAATCTGCAGATAGAAAAGCTGAACAGCAACCCAGAGCGGGTCTGATCTGCAGATCGTCCATTGATAATTGGCTTTAAAAGGTGTTTCAGATTTATTTCCAGAATGTGAAGCAGAGACTGATCTGTAAAAGTTCTGGTAGAACAGATTTACAGACTGAAAAGCTTTTTATTTGAGAATTTCTACACTCCAGTTGATGATTAATCAATTACTTTTATTTTCTTAACGGGTAAAAAGGAAACAGATCCAGACGGACCTGAGCAGAAATCAGTCTATTGTTTCGGTTCGGCCGCAAATCAGGAATATTCTGCGTCATTGGATGATGATGATGATGATGATGATGATGATGATGATGAGTCTGTTGCTGCAGGGCCTGATCTGCTACCAGCCTGCAGACCAGCAGCGCTGCTTCCTCCAGACCATGGAGCGGCCCGACTACGACCATGTGGGCTCCCTGCTCAGCGGACAGCAGAACCAGGTGAACGGGCTCAGCGGCGGTTCGGTTCGGTTCTGTCGGGCTCAGCGGCGGTTCGGTTCTGTCGGGCTCAGCGGCGGTTCAGTTCGGTTCTGTCGGGCTCAGCGGCTGCAGCTCTCCCTGCGTGGCCTCCAGGCTGAATCGGTGATCCGATCCGGGCGGATCCGCTTTCAGCAGCGACCCGTCTGGGACACAATGGTCTCTCTGTGCGAAGCCTCTCAAAGCGCCGACTGTTCCTGCTGATCATTTTAGTGGCGGAGTCCGGTTCCAGGCCAGGTATAATTTCTGCTGGATTATCTGATTTCTAACAATAATCTGATTTTGAACGGAGCCGGTTCTGTTCCTGTCTGGGCAGCTGCAGAGTAATTTAACGTGCCAGAAAGGATTCTGCTGCTGGAGGACTTTACTATCGCAGCCTCTGGTTGTCGTCAGTCATCAGCAGCTCTTTAGGCTCAACAGGATTCCTGGTGGTTCCGGTTCCGGTTCTGTCGGCCTTTGTTGCTGTGGACATCTGAACGGTGACCCTGTCCTTGCAGGGAGACGTCCAGCTGTCTGGGAACGAGACGCAGAGGCGGACGCAGTTCCTGGGCGTGATGGCGGGCGATCAGGTGGGTGTGGCCACGCTGGACGAGCCGCTCCGGACGCTGTGTCGGGACAGAACCGTCCACCGGACCCGCAGGACCGACGGTGAGAGCAGAAACATGCCACTGTTGAGGTAAAAGTTTTCCTTCCACTCAACTCTCCACTCATACACACAGCAATAACTCTCAGGCTGCTAACTGCTGCTAATACATAAAAATAAAATATGATCAGTCTTAATCCCAATCAATAACCCATCAAACTGCATCTGTTTGCGTCACGCAGTCTGGGAGAAGGAAGGACTCAAACCAGCTGAAACATGAGACGAACTCTGACCTTTCAACTGACTGAAAGGTCGTTGTGTCCCTGAACGCTCAGTCACCAGAGACCAACATGCTGCTGCCGTTTCTAAACCTACTGCCAAAAACTAACATTTAGCCTGAAGGGAGATTCATGTTTGGTTTTTCAGTCAAATTTTTACCATTTTATTCATTTATAAATGTCAGTTTCAATATTTAGTTCAGGTAAGACCAGCCCCGTCTCCAGACCCTTAACAGGGCGGGCATCGGCTTATCGGCAACATGAACCTACGTAGCAATAACAATATGACTCAAGGAAAAGAAAAAGGTGCAGTGCAGTAAATACGTTTCCAAAAATGTTCCTCAAGTGAATGTAAGAAGAACTACCAACACCAGTAGTCTAAATGTTTAACAGGCTTAAGGTGCTGTACTGGTGTTAGCCAGTCATCTTCTAGCTAACATTAGCCAGTCATCCTCTAGCTAACATTAGCCAGTCATCTTCTAGCTAACATTAGCCAGTCATCTTCTAGCTAACATTAGCCAGTCATCTTCTAGCTAACATTAGCCAGTCATCCTCTAGCTAACATTAGCCAGTCATCTTCTAGCTAACATTAGCCAGTCATCTTCTAGCTAACATTAGCCAGTCATCTTCTAGCTAACATTAGCCAGTCATCTTCTAGCTGACATTAGCCAGTCATCTTCTAGCTGACATTAGCCAGTCATCTTCTAGCTGACATTAGCCAGTCATCTTCTAGCTGACATTAGCCAGTCATCTTCTAGCTAACATTAGCCAGTCATCTTCTAGCTGACATTAGCCAGTCATCTTCTAGCTGACATTAGCCAGTCATCTTCTAGCTAACATTAGCCAGTCATCTTCTAGCTAACATTAGCCAGTCATCTTCCAGCTGACATTAGCCAGTCATCTTCTAGCTAACATTAGCCAGTCATCTTCTAGCTAACATTAGCCCAGTCATCTTCTAGATGACATTAGCCAGTCATCTTCTAGCTAACATTGGCCAGTCATCTTCTAGCTAACATTAGCCAGTCATCTTCTAGCTAACATTAGCCAGTCATCTTCTCGCTGACATTAGCCAGTCATCTTCTAGCTAACATTAGCCAGTCATCTTCTAGCTGACATTAGCCAGTCATCTTCTAGCTGACATTAGCCAGTCATCTTCTAGCTGACATTAGCCAGTCATCTTCTAGCTAACATTAGCCAGTCATCTTCTAGCTGACTTTAGCCAGTCATCTTCTAGCTGACATTAGCCAGTCATCTTCTAGCTGACATTAGCCAATCATCTTCTAGCTGACATTAGCCAGTCATCTTCTAGCTGACATTAGCCAGTCATCTTCTAGCTGACATTAGCCAGTCATCTTCTAGCTAATATTAGCCAGTCATCTTCTAGTTGACATTAGCCAGTCATCTTCTAGCTAACATTAGCCAGTCATCTTCTAGCTAACATTAGCCAGTCATCTTCTAGCTAACATTAGCCAGTCATTTTCTAGCTGACATTAGCCAGTCATCTTCTGGCTAACATTAGCCAGTCATCTTCTAGCTGATATTAGCCAGTCATCTTCTAGCTGACATTAGGCAGTCATCTTCTAGCTAATATTAGCCAGTCATCTTCTAGCTGACATTAGCCAGTCATCTTCTAGCTAACATTAGCCAGTCATCTTCTAGCTAACATTAGCCAGTCATCTTCTAGCTGACATTAGCCAGTCATCTTCTAGCTAACATTAGCCAGTCATCTTCTAGCTGACATTAGCCAGTCATCTTCTAGCTAACATTAGCCAGTCATCTTCTAGCTAACATTAGCCAGTCATCTTCTAGCTGACATTAGCCAGTCATCTTCTAGCTGACATTAGCCAGTCATCTTCTAGCTGACATTAGCAGTCAACTTCTAGCTAACATTAGCCAGTCATCTTCTAGCTAACATTAGCAGTCATCTTCAATGGCCTGGATAAGGTTATGACCCAAACTAAATATCTACTTGGCAAACTAGCTTGCTAAGTAAATATATTGTGTTTAGTTGGCAAGCTGAATATTAGCTAATGGCCAACTAAACAGCTATATAGCAAGGTAACTTGTAAAATATCTAGTTAGCTTGAAGCTAAGTAGTTAGAAAGCCAGTTTGCCCTTTAAATATTTAGCTTACAAGCTAAATTGAAAGCTGACACGTCTCCCAGTACCCAAAACCACCTACTGCTAAAAGTAAGTAGTATTACTATTTATTAGCTAACAATCTTATTTGTATCTAAATTTTTTGTTTGAATCTGTGGTATTTATAAATAAAAATAAAATGTGGCCAACTGTTTTCTGTCAGGCTAAATCACCCAAATTATTTAATGGACTGTAACTTTTCAAACGGTGTCCTATAAAAACCCAACAAGTTTTAATCAGATTTTCAGCTGAGTGTGGAAAACGTCAGTCCATGTAAGCGCTCATCAGCAGCCTGTTCTGTTTCTAACCCCATGGTGTCTCTAACTGCCCCAGGCCCAGGCAAACAGCGGCTGGTCTACTTCTGCATTGACATCTGCTTCCCCAGCAACATCTGTGTGTCAGTGTGTTTCTACTACCTGCCTGAGTGACGGAGGTCAGCCTGCAGCCTGCAGCCTGTAGCAGAGCAGCTGCCAGCCAGCTCATTTCCAGCTTCCAGAGGCAGAAAACACCTGGTGGTGAAGCAATGCGCCCCCTGGTGGCGCCATCTGGAGGTTCCAGACAGAATCTTTGTTTTTGTTTAGACTGGAGTGTAATTATGTTTTTAACTGCCTAATAAAACACATACTGTTGGTATTTCTGTTGATGCCGGAGGTTCGTTGTATCTCACTGAAGAGACTAAAACTGAAAGTTAAATAATTTGAACTTGGTTTATTCCCAGTTGACCCACCAGGCACAGAGAAACACACCTGAACATAGAGAGCATCACAGACGCATCACAGCCACAAGCTTTTAGAAATTTTACTGGGATTTTATGCAACCAATGAACTCATCATTTTGAAGTGAAACAAAAATCTGAAAAGTGTGGCGTGCATTTCTGTTCAAACTTTTTACAGCAGATGGAAAAATTTGATTCTTTAAATGAGACGTACAGAAAAAACCTGGGTAATTCTACAAACTTTTGTTTATTTTGGGGTTAATATGAAAGCGATTACTTTTTTATTTTTCTGCATCCTCTTCACAATAATTCTGAGTATTTTTTCATCTAAAGTCCCAGTCAGGAGCTCTGAGGTTTGCTGCAGCGTGACACAATGTGAGCCCTTCTGGAGCTCAGCTGAATGTCCAGTTGTGGTGAATAAACACAGAATCATGTTGCAATGTGAGGTTTACCTTCTGCTTCTCCTCCTCCTGCCTGATAAAGTCTGTCCCGTAAAGCCTGAGGCGGCCATGATGCTGCAGGGAAACCTTTAGCTCTCCTCCACTGTGAAGATAGGTGGCGTCTTCGCCGTCCTCCTCGTCTTCCTCAGCCGAGCACGCTGTCGTTGAAGGCCAGGCAGACGACGGCCTTCTGGTGGCCGCTGTACTCCCGCTTGATCTCCCCCGTCTCCACGCACCACAGCCGGGCCAGGTTGTCTGAAGACGCTGTGGAAGAAAAAACTCATCAAGGACTAAAGAAATCTACTTAAAGTGAAGGCCAGAAGTTTACATACACTAGCCAACATCATTTCGAGCCTTTAAAGGCAGAGCACTGCCCAGGGTTAGAATACTTCAGTTTACTTGTGACTTTTGTCTGATTCAATTCGTTTAATAAGCGTGTTTAGTTATTATTGGTTTAATATTGTTTAGTTTTAATCAATTATAGTTTTAGATTTCCAGTGACAGACTGGCCACCTGTCCAGGTGACCCCGCCTCTCGCCCAGAACGTTGCTGGAGAGGCAGCAGCTGCCGCCCCCACTGGGGTGAAGGGGTCACAAAATGGATGGGTGGTTTTAGATTTCATACTTTGGCTCATTTCTCGGTTCAAAACGGTCAAAGAATTGTGATCATGTTCACATGGATTAAGTAATAAATATTCATCAGAAAATACTATTTTCAAAAAATAGATTTAATAATTACTGAACAACCAGATGACTGGAGTTTCCTGTTCACTGGCAGGAACAAACCCGCAGCATAGTGCTGCCACTGCTGCAGCATAGTGCTGCCACTGCTGCAGCATAGTGCTGTCACTGCTGCAGCATAGTGCTGCCACTGCTGCAGCATAGTGCTGTCACTGCTGCAGCATAGTGCTGTCACTGCTGCAGCATAGTGCTGCCACTGCTGCAGCATAGTGCTGCCACTGCTGCAGCATAGTGCTGCCACTGCTGCAGCATAGTGCTGTCACTGCTGCAGCATAGTGCTGTCACTGCTGCAGCATAGTGCTGTTACTGCTGCAGCATAGTGCTGTCACTGCTGCAGCATTACGCTGCCACTGCTGCAGCATTATGTTGCCACTGCTGCAGCATTATGCTGCCACCACTGCTGCAGCATTACGCTGCCACTGCTGCAGCATTACGCTGCCACTGCTGCAGCATTATGTTGCCACTGCTGCAGCATTACGCTGCCACTGCTGCAGCATTACGCTGCCACTGCTGCAGCATTACGCTGCCACTGCTGCAGCATTATGTTGCCACTGCTGCAGCATTACGCTGCCACTGCTGCAGCATTATGTTGCCACTGCTGCAGCATTATGTTGCCACTGCTGCAGCATTATGCTGCCACCACTGCTGCAGCATTACGCTGCCACTGCTGCAGCATTACGCTGCCACTGCTGCAGCATTACGCTGCCACTGCTGCAGCATTACGCTGCCACTGCTGCAGCATTATGTTGCCACTGCTGCAGCATTACGCTGCCACTGCTGCAGCATTACGCTGCCACTGCTGCAGCATTATGTTGCCACTGCTGCAGCATTATGTTGCCACTGCTGCAGCATTATGTTGCGGGTTTATTGAGCTGTCAGGTTAAAGAGGATGAAATAATAATTAAACCTGAGTCTGAAACAACAGACACTGGACAAGCACACATATTACTGGTGTATGTAAAGATCTGAGCCTGATAAAAAGAACTGTTCAAATGAATCATGAACAGGTCAGAGATTTCCTGTTCTCTAGGGCTCGTATACAGACCAGTTACGATGTACTGGGAGTCCCCAGAGAAAGCGCAGTCCCACATCCAGCCTCTAGAGGTCTCTCCAGGGTTGTTGCTCTTGATGCTGAGCTCCGTCATGAGGGAGAAATTCGACGTCCTCCAGATTTTACAGGTCTGGTCTGCTGAGCAAGTGGCCAGCAGGCTGGAGGGGACAAACAACTTATTGACTGAGAAAAACAGACAAACTGCATCTGGAGGAGAGCATGCAGGTCAAAGGTCGCTCACGTGGAGTCTGGGCTGAACTTGCAGCGCAGGGAGTAGCGTTTGTGTGCCGGGATCTTGGTCTTGGGAATCAGCTGGGTGACTTCGTCTCCCATTCCTCCTGCCAGGTTCCACACGTAGCAGTTTCCCTGCAGAGGAACCGGGGTGGGTTAACCCACAGGGGCGTCTCCAGGGCCGCAGCCTCAGGGGGG